ATATATATATTTGACATCAGATATAATGTAAAGATAGTACATTTTTGTGCAATTATAAAAGAATGAAATGAGAGATCAATTATGAAAAATAAAAAAATGATGTATATATAGATATGTATATGTATATGAGAATGTATCTATATTATAAACTTGGAAGAATAACCAATTTATCTAAATCTTGTTTATCAAAGACTGGTTTGATTGGTTCAGAAGATTGCTCCTCTTCGGTTTCGGGACTTTCTGAAACAATTTAGAAAGTATGCACACTCTTTTGTATATATTGTTAATATAATTAACAATTATATTAATTTATTAATAAACCCATTATCAGAAATGTTGGAAAAAAACAAGTTGTGATAAAAAGACCTTGTCGATCAAAATCTTCGTCGTCTGTATCCATGTCCAAAAATTCTCGTTGAGGATCCAATGATAATTTGTCTACTTTCTTCGTTTTCTCCATCTTTTGCAATTTATTGATTTTTATTTAATAAAAACGACTTTTTTGTTTATTAAAAACAACTCGCGCGCGCGAATATATTTTATATAATGACGAACTTTAGTTATTAATTGTTAAAAATAACTAGCGAAAATGTTTGACAATGGGTAGCACGATAATTCGCGATTTGGTGACCAAGTCGCCAAGACGTTGTATCGTATCGATAAAACGAATAATATGAAACGATTACAACATGATATAAAGACAAGAGTATGCCTATGCGCAGAATATAATCACGTGACGATCGAACGACCAATCAGAATTATTAACAAGTTACATCATCAGTCAAATTACGACCATTCTCAAGAAGAACAGAAAATCAAAATAATGTCAATTTAACGAATCATATTGACCGAATTTATGTCATGTTTTTACTATGTCAAATTGATATCATTTTGATTTTCTTGTCTCTCTGTAGTTACCTAGTTAGTCTCTGTACCGCGTACCGCGCTACATGTAATCGCACCCTAAATCTCCGCCCTCTCTGTCTATGGATGTTCATGAGATTCAAGGGCTACAACTGTGAAACGCGAAACATGGGGCAGTATTCCGTAGACCGATAGATCGTTTTTAATTTAGAACTATCTTAAATATAATGTCTTAAGATGTTAATACAATCAGATTGACTTACATCTTAAGAGAGTCTTAATAAATGTAAGAATCAACTATGAATACCGGCCTATTTCATATCGTGAAGTTGATACTGAATCTTTTCTTGCACAATATAACTATTGTCTGAAGCATTTTTCCCTATAACTTCTATATTTTTCAAGATATTTATCTCATTACGTTTGAAAATTTTTTGTATGTGTATGTACATATCCCGAATTTAAAACTTCGGCCAAACTTCGGGAGCGTGTGATCAACTAAGAAACTAAGAAAAAGATCCTATATAGATATGCTCGTTCTTGCTCTCTGTTTCGAAGGTAATAGCAAAAAGAACAAAACGTAGTTTTCATTTTTGTACTTATTAATTACTTATCCATTCACACTTATTTATTCACTTGCTTAATGGAGATATTCAAAATGTTAGCCTACAGCAATGCACACATTACATATTGTTCGGGCAACTCGTGTTGCAGCCAAACACTGATTTGATCAACCTATAAATGACCTGCCGATCCGACACTCTTCTGGTTGGAAATCGGCGCGCATACTCTCGCATTGCCTCTGAAGTATTGTTGCTGAAGTCGTACACGAAACAATAATATTGTATTTTGAAAATATATAATAATATTCCAAAATGAAACAAAAACGAGCATATCTCTAAAGAACTTTTTTTTTCTTAATTTATCGATTCCCTACATGCTCATGAAAAATTGACCATTTAAATTTGAAATAGACTGTGTATTATATACATATGTATTACATTATTACACAATTATATATTATTATATATTATTATATATTATTATATATTAT